ATAATACTGTTCGCGCTAGTACTATTCTAAGATACTAAATGCTTTTTATTCGATGGTGGATTCGCTGGAATAGAGAAAATGAACTTTCAGCAGAAATTTTTATACACAACCACGAATGTTTTAGGATTTTGCTACTATCCAAGAAACACATTGATGCAATTACCAACCAAAGCAGGTTCCTTAGATTATTGTTTGCAAACATTATAATGCTATAAAGAGAAATTAATAGAAATTAAATGAAGAAAAAAAGCATAAATAACTAGAGTCTTATTTAATACAGCAAAAATCTCAAAGCTCTAGAGGACCCTAATCTTTACTATAGAAAGGTCTATAAGAAATCAAATGAGACTCGCATACCCCTTATAACTCACAGAGTATGGATAACTAGCAAGGAATAGCCTTTAGAATTGACAAAGTTTCTTAGAGAGCAACTACTCTAAAATCTGAACATAACTTATTAAAATCTTGATTAGTCTGCAGCTTAGAGGGGATTGAATTGGACTCATTATTTATGGATATAAGACATTAATCAATTACCTGAAACGGTATAATTATTCCAAAGCTTAGGTGTAATTGTGAAAGAATTGAAAGATTTGAAATTATTTGATGACAGAGCCAAGTTTTAATTTGATTTTTACCTGTAAGATTCAAAAGCTGCTGCAGCTGCAAGTGACTTAATGAGAGGTGTTGTAGTTGCTGAGTATGGAGGAATATATTTTGACAATGACTTTGTAATTGATGAATGGGATTACAACATTAATTATCTATTTGACTATTTTGGTATCAGTTTATATCTTTGGTAAGCAAGATTTACAATTAATGGTTTTTTCGCTGCTAAGAAAGGCCACCCAATTGTAGTTCACTATATGGAGCAAATGAAGGATTCATTCTCTTTGATTGAAGAAGAAAGACCTCATTACATGAATGAGTGTATTTTTAAAACTACTGCAATGATAATGTTTGGGACAGGACCATCATCCTTAGGAGCAACTGCTTATAATTTCATTAGCTAAGATGGCAATTAAGATTATATAATATTTGAGTATGGCTAAATGTCAGTAACCTCAACGACAATGATTGATGAATTTGGAGTATAGAAGCCAGTTATTATTAAACTTAATGGAAGGGATGGATATTCGGCTTCCTGGTTAAATGATTTTAGAGATTATTAGAAGTTTGGATGGAGCGATTTAAATGAATACAACTGATATAATTATCAATATATACTTGAATTATCATCTTTTACTAATTTATTTAAATTTTAATCTTGCGGGGTTTTGGGGTTTTGGGGTTTTGGGG